TCGTTAAATTTGATAATATTTTGTCCGAGTAATAAAGTCCCTTTATTCTCCAGCGGACTTTTGCTAAAGTGGACATTTTCTGGATCTATGCCAGCCCTCGAACTATGACTAAAATCTCTATGTTTTCCAATCGATAGGTAATATACTATTAGCATTAGACTTCTCAACATTTTTAAGTATGCTAACTCCTACAACAACTTTCTATACGTTCCAGATAGAATCTTCTCAGTATTTCAGAAATGCTTCTCTCCGAAAAAAAACTCTTTCCAGGAATCTCAAAGGATTCTCATAAGAATCATTACCAAGTTCTTTTTTGTTGCCTATGAAACTAGGAGAACCTTTCGCTTGTTTAGAGCATGTTAGAGAAAGACATTCTCGAAATTTTTATGAAGTTCTTTTCGAAGAAGAAGAATTTTTTTATTCATAGATAACGACGATAACGATTCTTTTTCTCGTTCATTGTAGTAATTCCCAATATTCCAGCCAATGCCCGATGGGCAGAGAATGGTGTGACCGTTGCTGGAGGCTATGGAGAAGGCGATGCCACAAATCAACTCTATTGGCCTGGAGGTCTCTTCGTTGATGATGATCAAATGATTGTCATCGCTGACTACTCGAATAATCGTATCATCCAATGGAAGATTGGTGATACGAATGGAAAAGTGGTAGCTGGTGGCAATGGCGCAGGAAAACGATTGGATCAATTGAATGGTCCAATCGATGTGCTGATCGACAAAGAGACTGATAGTCTCATTATCTGCGATTGGCAGAATCGGCGAGTCGTGCGATGGTCTCGTCGCAGTGGCACAACTCAAGGAGAAATCCTCATCGACAATGTCGATCCTTGCAGATTGGCCATGGATGATCAGAGATATCTCTACATCTCTGATACACAAAAATCTGAAGTAAGACGATATCAAATAGGAGACAAGAATGGAACTCTCGTGGCTGGTGGCAATGGCAAAGGTGCTGGTCTCAATCAACTCAACTATCCGACCTACATCTTTGTCGATCAACAACAGACTGTCTACGTGTCAGACAACTGGAATCATCGTGTGATGAAATGGAATAAAGGTGCAAAAGAAGGAATTGTCGTCGCTGGAGGTCAAGGCCAAGGGAATGCTCTGACACAATTGAATTATCCTAGTGGACTGTTCGTCGATACGTTGGGTACCATCTATATGGCAGACTCGTGGAATCATCGAGTGGTGCGTTGGCCTAAAGGAGCGAAACAAGGCACTGTCATTGTGGGTGGAAACGGTAAAGGAGAAGGAGCAAATCAGTTCAGTCGTCTCGAGGGTTTGTCCTTCGATCGACAAGGCAATCTCTACGTCGTCGATGGTGCTCTCTTCGGAAATAATCGTGTTCAACGCTTTTCTATCGAATGAACTCAACACGATGGATTTTTTTCTTTCCTTTCAAATAAATTCACGTTGAATTGATGAAAGCAATGCTTATTCTATTCGCACGCGCGCGACCAGGAACTACCCTGGTGGAGCCGTGGCGAGCGTAAGGCTCATGCACGCGTGGGAAGACCCACGTCATCCACATGCACCCATCCGATGTCATGTGTCAGTGAGTTTGGGGGCCCAGTCGTGTGCCACGGACACCAAAGCAGTTCCTGGCCGGGCTTTTAGGGACTACCCGGAAGTCCTTCATATAACGCGAACCTAACCTCAACGAATAGAACTCACCCTCTATTCTCATACTCAAAAAAGAAAAAAAAAGTAACTGACCCCGTTGATGATCACGTGATGCGATGATATTCATGACTAAAAGGAAAAGAAAAAAAATCATAGAAGAACTTACCATCCTTCATATTCTCTTTCTCGTAGAGAAGAGTCTTGCAAACATAAATTGTCTGGTTGATTGCTTGCTTGTGTGTCCGCACTTCACTGATTGGTCGAATAACAATCTCGACACAAAAAGGGTTCTTTCAAATAAAACTCAACCAAAGGTAATCGAGGTCGAGGAACTCGAATCTGAGATCAGTTTTTTGAAACTTTTTTGTGAATCATTTTTTTACACAAAGGATCACTTTTTTACGAAAAAAATTTTTTTTTATAAGGCTTGACCGAAGGGTAATCGGGGTCGGGAAATTCGAATCTGAGGCTAGTTTTTTGAAATTTTTTGTGAATCATTTTTTTTACACAAAGGATCACTTTTTTACGAAAAAAAATTTTTTTATAAGGGTTGACCGAAGGGTAATCGGAGTCGAGGAATCCGAATCTGAGATTAGTTTTTTGAAATTTTTTTGTGGATCATTTTTTTACACAAAGTATCACTTTTTTACAAAAAGATATTTTCTCTTTCTCATAGAGAAGAGTCTAGCAAACATAAATTGTCTGATTGCTTGCTTGTATGTCCGCACTTCAGTGATTGGTCCAAGAATAATGTGAAAACAAAAAGGATTATTTTCCATAAAACTTGACCAAAGGTAATCAGGGGTGAGGAGTTCAAATCTGAGGTCAGTTTTAATTAATTAATTATTAACTGATTATTAATTACTAATATTTTCAATAAAACTAGACCAAATGTAATTGAGGGTGGGAAATCCGAATCCAAGGTCAGTTTTAATTAATTAATTATTAACTGGTTATCAATTACTGATGTTCTTCAAAAATCTTCACCAAAGGTAACGGAAGGCGGAGAATTCGAACCCGAGGTCAGTCTCACTTTTCTTTTGCCACTGTTTTTAGTAAAGTTTTTGTCTAGAAAATTAATCAAAGGCTATTGAAGGTAAAAAACAGGGACCTATGATTATTTTCTGTTAACACTATAGCAAGAATAACGAGTAGTAAGGTTTACGAAATATTTCTAATGAAAGAAAGTCTCTAGGACTAAGATATCGGCAATAGTTGAATGTGTAAATAGGTATCATGCGTAGAAATAGATGTTTTCGGGTGCTAGGATGTAATAATTGGTAGTTGTCGTTCCCAAGAGAAACTTCCAGTGAAAACCATCTACCTGACAACAAGGCTGGGCGTAGGTGGGTGTAGGTGTAGGCGTGGGTGTAGGTGCAGATGTTTTCATTATCCACACCCACACCCTAGTTTGCTGAGAGATCAGAAACAGCATTTCTACGAGAAAGAGCTGAGCGAGTCAGCAGACGAGCGTTACTTGTGATATAAAAAAGAAAACAAAAATTAAAACTAATACCTACATTTTATTTTATGGTCTTGTTCGATGTTGAATTATTCCATATCATGTTGTTGAAGACATTCTGAAATATAAAAACAAAAAGATTATTATATGATTCAATAAATTGAATGATTTTACATAGAAAATCATTCATATTTATACGCTAAAAGGACATTAATTATGTCATATTATCATTTATCATCAATGATAACATGAACGATAAATTTTGGACGAGAGAAAGGAAAGAAAAAGAATTCTCTTCACTTTTTTTTCTCATTCTTTTTTCTTGATCATGTTCATTTGTGAACACAAAGCAGACGAACACACACGATATTCAAGTATGTGTTGTTCATCTTAAACAACTACGAAGGTAAATTGTTTTATTTTATTGTAAAAATATG